AAAATCAGTAAAATTCGTTTTATTTCATAAGTAGTATTCGCGTAAATATAAGAAATTATCACATAAACTTTTATATTACTAGCAAACTAGCTATTATTAATATCAGCTGCATCACGAATAATTCCGCTCGACCGATGAAGGACCACGCTCTCACAGAATACCGGCGTAAAATAGCAGCATCATTTTTATAATTACACTTGTTTTATTAACTATTTTTTTCGTAAGCCTTGTCGTTCCATATCTATTATCGGCTACGTACTGGGAAGCCCAAGTCCAGCTATGTACTGCGACAAGTTGAAGAATATTTTAGGACTTGAATCTGTGGCTAGCACCACCATAGCCCAATATGTAACCACCCCCGCTATTGAGCTTTCAATTCATTATGTTTTAAATAAATATTGTATTTTTAAATTATTATTAAAACGAAGCCGTCCAACCTTTAGTCCGAAAATTGAAATTTGTAAATTTTTATCAATCAAAATTAATTTGACTAACGACCATCCCTTTTTTATTGAATGAGAATTTTTTGTATGATTTCTTCCCTTTTTTTAAGTAAAAGTGTTTTAAAGTTTTATTTATAAAGTAAACTTTTATCTATTACGATCAATTAACCTTTACCAAATCGTAGGGATTTTTTTAACGGAAACTGAAGTAAAAATGCAGTATTTAATAAAAAAGGAAAATATTGTCCCCACTTCTGGGTTGGGGCATCCAAGTACTAGCAGATATAATTTGACCGCATTGTATGGAGAGCGACTCAAATCGTCGACGACAGACTCTTTCCAATCGGCTTGATCCACTGGTTTTGTAGTTTTTTGCCAAGCAATACCTTGAAGTTGCTTTACTGCTTGTTATAAGAAAATAAAGAATCTGAATAATATATGACCTATGAAGAATCCAATTCAATATATATTTTACATATTATCAAAAAATATTATATGGTTGTTGCATGAAAGTATCAACAGTATGAACGACGAAAGTTTTTTCTCGGAAATAAAATTATAGTTTTTTTGTCTCGACCAATATTGTTATAGTGTTTTAAAATCTATTCGATTCAAATTTTTATTGTATATTTCATGAATACTCGCTCGTCCAAATCGTATCTAAAATACGACAATTTGTCCAACCTGGTCTTAAGGAACTTAAAAAAATAAGACAAATGAAATAAGAAAACAATAACATCATTAAACATTGTATTTAATAAACTTTCTAATAGTGTATTACACTTCTTCATACCTTAACATCAAAAAAAAGTTATTAACAATAAAATCACGTATGTCGTCTTGAGACAAAACAGCAATCGCAAATACAAAATAGTTTATTTCTTAACTATAAGTGGGGTGGTATGCCGGCCGAAATTATTCCTGTAGCTGTAGCTCTGCGAACGGGCTAATCCCAGTCAGCCTCTCGGGTCATCTGAGGAGGCTGGGACTCCGTGACGGACCGCTCATGACTCAAATTCAGAAGGCGGTGCTCCTCGATACCGCCCGCATCGTCCGCCGGTTTCTTTCCCTTTCCCCCTAACCCTCGGCCGTTTGGTCTCCCCTGCCGAGGGCCTCCATCTGGTTGGCCTTTTATTTATTTATGTATTTTTATATTTATTTAATTTTATTGATATTTATGTCTATTTATCTTTTCATTTCCATTTATAATAATATATTTATAGAACCCAACCAGATGAGAAAACTATAGGCATGTCATCTCCGGTTGTTCGGCGCTTTCTAACTCTGAGTACTTGCACAGGCACAACCTAGTAGCCAGAATTCTTCACCAGGAGCTTGCTCTGAAATACGGTCTCGTGGATTGGAAATTGTCGTATCACAAGTACTTACCGGAAGCCTTGCTCGAAAATGATCGCACCAGGCTCTATTGGGACCGGGCCATCATCACAGACAGGACTATACTTGCGAATAAGCCTGATATTGTGCTGATAGATCGGGCACAGTCAAGGATATTTTTGGTCGAAATTACCATTCCGTATGACGAGAACCTCGTGAAAGCCGAAACAGATAAGCAATCAAAATATTTGGACCTGGCTCATGAGGTGACCAACATGTGGGGTGGTCTGCCGACCGAAATTATTCCTGTAGTCGTGTCTGCAAACGGGTTAATCCCAGCCAGCCTATCGGGCCATCTGAGGCGACTGGGACTCCGTGACGGACCGCTCCGGGCTCAAATGCAGAAGGCGGTGCTCCTCGATACCGCCCGCATCGTCCGCCGGTTTTTTCCCTTTCCCCCTAACCCTCAGCCGATTGGTCTGCCCTGCCGAGGGCTTCCATTTGGTTGGGCTTTTATTTAATTATGTTTTATTTATTTATTTATGTTAGTATAGTACATATAAATTTAAGTATATTTATTTTTTCTTTTTATGGATTTATCCAGCCCTTATTAATGTATTAATATTTCAATTATTTGTGCTGGCAGTGGCGAAGCTAGGGCTCCAAACTAGGGCAAGCCCAAGATATGGTTTTGTTGTTTTTAGCAGTTTAATAAAAATACACCAATCTTGAGCTGTCTTCACTCTTTAGTTTCATATTCAGTGCTGACAAGGACGTGTTTAACAAAGCACACAGAAAGCGTACTACTGCTAGACTGATTGTATGACATAACATGCAATTGTACACCTTCAGTGGTTTTGAAAAGAGCCGTTTGGGTTTGCTTGAGATATTTACAAACAATACAATACATGAACAAAGTACAAAAAAAAACTATGTACAAAGTTAAAAAGGGACGCCTGGCAGATGTGAAACCTCGAAAATATATATTGTTTAAGTTATATGCATAAAAGAACAGATTACGACAGGAATTAGATGGTTATAATGAGAAGATAAAGCTTTGCTAATTTTTTACCATAAAATAATGACTATTTATTATAATTATAATTATTCATTTTCAATTCATAATAAACCGTAAAAAATTATATTTTTAAACTCATATATCAATATAAATTAGCCGATAGCGTATTTGTGCCATCTAGCGTAATCTTTAGGTACCATCGTGAGAATCAACCAATTTTCGTTCGATAAAATGACTTTACGTATAGAATTAAGTAGATGGCGCCATAAAAATTTTATATACTGAAAAGTAGACAGAGAAACCTAACTGGAAATAACTAAAGAAGTACTATTCTTTAAAAACCTCAATACATTCTTCTGTATTCTTTTGATTTATTTAATTAAAATTTGGGTTTCACGTTAAAAAAAAGATTGTAACACTTATTTCCTCTAAAATTAAACCTACATTAATATAACATTTCTTAGTTATATTTCATTATAGAATATTTTGCCATAGGTTAGAAAGAGAGCGATCGTCTTCACGAAAGCCCCGTAAAAAGCCCACGCGAGTGAGGGAGACAACTAATCGCTCTATTAAAACTCACTTTATGACAGCAGCAGTATGGCCACAGAGTACCTTTGTATAAACTTATCGCTAAGGCAATACGAGGTCATCGGTCAACATGTGTCGAATATTGGAGTGCGCGGGAAAATTGAAATAATTTGAAACAGTTTAGGAGTTATTTTATTTGTTGATATTATTGATTGATTCAGTTTTAATAAGGCAAGCCCGGCTTTTCGGCTTTAATGGAAGCTTCGCCACTGCTGGTATATGAAATATATATTTATGTATATTTATTATTTCCTTTTATACATTTATTCAGCCCAACCAGATGAGATTATAATAACACTGACGTAACAGTTAAGTGACAAAACTGCTACGTCAACGCAGTCAGTCAGCGCCTTGCGAGAGGTGTGAGCGCCGTGCCTTGGCAGAATTTAGGGTGCAAAGGCCCATTTGTGCTTTTGGCCGCACACTATACGGTGCCGGGCCTGGGCGTCTCCCGTTAATGGACTCCCAAATAATGGATGATGGATAAAAAGATAGTGCGCAAAGGGCCGTTGCCTGGGGGTCGCCGGTATGCGTCTGGAGCTAGCGCTGTAAGCGGCAGCATGCGGACCGCCAGCCAAGCGTGAGGAGCTGCACGGTCACCTAGCAGCCCTCCGCATACATCATTCCCACCAGAAGGTTTGGTGTCGGCTGGGTCTTCTTGGACTCAGCAAACGGCACCCGCCGCTGGTGGAGCACGTCGCATGCGTTGGTCACAAACAATGAATGCAAACGCACTGTGGGCGTACTTTAGGGCAAAAGGGGAAGAAACTGGATGTTTGGCGTATCGGGCTAGGGTGCGTCGTCTTTTTGCTGAGCTGTAGCCATCTTTAACCGTCACAGAGCAAAACCTGGCAGACCGAGTTCGGTATATCTTGCGCTCAAATATATTTGATATCGCCGAACTAGAACGGCTACGACGTGAGGCTGTTCCCTCATCGGATGAAAATGCAACCGGCAAACGTGGATGCCACCGTGAATACCTCAGTTGTGGTTAATTCAAACGATGATGGAACAGTTGCCCAGGAACTGGAATAAGAGCATATGAGGAGTACATTGGAAGAGGCGACTGTGGAAACGCGCAGTACGCCTCTCCAAAATCGACCGCGACTTCACCGCATAGCCCTAAGCAAGCGGAATCGAGCTGTCTTAAGGGCTCTGAACCCAATGCTGGTGACCTATTTGGAAGCCAGCCGGGACCTTTGCGAGACGGACTCAATTCTTTTTGGCGCCACGATGGCAGTTTGCCGTATCATAGGCGCCAAGGTTTCCACGGCTGGACGTGCAACTTGCCAAATAAGTGCTATCTCAGCATGGAGAAGAAGAATTGAGGAACGTATCGCAAAGGCTCTCATCGGCAGACTGATATGCTTCAGATCAGACAATAACAGGCCAAGAATTGTGCGCACCGTCAGGATGGCGTTTGCTGGGACAAATGTTAGTTTGTCCCAGCCGGATATAAGGCAAAAATTGACGGAGCGCATAGACGACCTGAAGCAAAGAATCGCTGCTTGGGGAAAGCGGATTCGGCGATATACCGAGAGGTCGACACGGTCAACCAGAATCATCTCTTCCAGAGTGATCAGAAGAGGCTCTATAAATCATTGGAGTGACCAATGGTAAGTGAACCAAGCCCAGCACCAAATCAGGCCGACACGGTCGCATTCTGGCTCAGCCTGTGTTCAGAGCCAGTAAATCACAACGAGAGTGCTTGGACGGAAGTTGTGGCGAGTCAGTGTGTGGGTATTACGCCCATGGACCCCGTTATTATGACTCCGGATGACGTAGCTGAGGCCCACGACTGGAAAAGTCCGGGGCTAGACGGGCTGCATCACTACTGGCTGAAGGGGTTCATGGTGTGTCACGCTGTGCTCGGCCGACAGTTTCAAGAGGCTCTCAACCAGAAGTCGCTCCCAAGCCTCTTCACTACTGGGATCACTCATTTGGTTCCTAAAGATCGGGGTGCCACAGACCCGAGCAAATACCGCCCCATCACGTGTCTACCGATCATATAGAAGACACTAACATCCATTTTGAGCGCGAGAATCACTCGTCACCTGGACTCAAATCAGGCGATGTCGTGCGCTCAAAATGGATATCGGGGCGATGGTCGTGGAACCAAAGAACCACTCCTCATTGACGCGGTCATTGGCAAAGTGGTGAAACGCAACCGTCGGAACTTCTCAGCCGCCTGGATAAATTACAGAAAGGCAATCGACTCGGTGCCCCATACATGGCTAAAGAGGGTCCTCGAGCTGTACAATATTGACTGTTGTCGTGAAGCGACAGTTAAAAACTAAAGAACCTAACCTAACAACGAAACAACCAAAAAGAAAATAATTTATTTAAAATTTGTAAAGATATTTACAGTTTCTTTTATAAAATGTAAAGCCACAATTAAAAACTATAGAACCTAACCTAACAACGAAACAACCAAAAAGAAAATAATTTATTTAAAAAATTGTAAAGATATTTACAGCTTTTTATTTTTTTTTATAAAAAAAAGGTATGAGGGTGATGATGGGCTGTAGTGATGATAGTGATTTACAATTTTTAAAAAAAAATAAAAGTTAATAAAGATAAATGAGTACGGAAACAATGTATGTACAGGCTATGCCTGTGGTAGATGCACAGCGCCTAATCTAAATCGCCTAAACACGCAGCGCTTGAAGTAGGCACACACAGCGACCAGAATGAGCACACACAACACCCGGAGTAGACACACACAGCGCCTGGAGTAGACACGCAGCGACTCGAGTAGGTCCACGCAGCGTCTGGAGTAGGTACACACAGCGTATTGAGCAGGTACACGCAGCACTTAGAGTAGGCACACACACACCGCTCGGAGTAAGCACAGACAACGCCCGGAGTAGACACACACAGTGCCCGGAGTAGACACACACAGCGCCCGGAGCGCCGGAGACACGGTCTGGAGTAGGAACACGCAGCGCTTGAGACAAGCACGCTCAGCGGCCGAAGATAGCGCGGGCACTAATAGGTGGAGGCGTAGGCGTGGCTAGGCGACGACTTCAGGAGAAGGCAGAGGCTTGCAAGATCCCGAGGCAGTGCGGATAAAGCCTTTAAGAGGTGCTTCTCGTATCAAAGCTGAAGTGAGAACCTCTATTGGCCGATTCTTCGGCTTTTATACTTTTTGACGGATCTGGGATAAGAACGAGAAATTATTTGAAATTATTTAAATTAAAAGCAAATTTTTGTAAATGGCCAAGAAGAAAAGAGTATTTTTGAAGTAAAAACATCAGGCCGGTAACGATATTTGAATAAAAATTGCCATGACAACCAGATAAACAACGATGTCAAAACATGTCAAATTTTGGTTTTAGGCTCGTAATAGAGAAACGGCAAGATTTAAGTGAAAAATGAGATATTATTGATATAGGAAAAAAGGTAGCGCAACAGTGCGCACGAAGCCCGAAATTGCAGAGTTACGGAGAACTAAATAAAATACCGAAAAAGGTAGACTCCATTGACACCGATTTAAAAAGTGCTGATAACGTGAAAATACGATGTGAAAATGATTTGTTATTGTGTTCTTATGGTTTAAAAACGTTACAGGATCCTATGAAAATAAAGGTGATGCAAAATATCCAGTTTTGAGGCTAATGCAGAAAATCAAAAACAGAATGGAAAAATAAATTTAAAATAGTGTAAAATGATATGTAAGTAGCATAACACTACACTGTACAGTTCAAGACTTCCACAAGCAGTGCATGGGGCAGTGGAGTACGATCCTCTGTCATCTAGACAAGCGGATGACGGCTGCGGAAAGCCGCAAAAGGATAAGAAGGGGTGTATTCCATGGCGACTGTCTGAGTCCAATCTGGTTCTGCATCTCTTTGAACCCTATCAGTACTTTACTGGAGGGCTCCGGGAGGGGATTTCAGCTTCGGAAAGGAGGTACAAAAGTGACCCAACTTTTCTGCATTGATGACCTCAAATTATTCCATCCCATCTTATGGAATTGCTAAACATCACTTGTGAATTTAGCAATTCTATTAGAATGGAGCTGGGGACGGATAAGTGTGCGGTCCTTCATGTTGAAAGGAGAAGGGTTGCTAACTCTGAGGGCATAAACTTATCTATGTCCGTCAACTTAAGAACCCTTTCCGAGGCTGAAAAATACCGATACCTGGGTATGTCACAGAACATCGGTATCGATGAGGCTGGTATGAAACAGTCAGTTTGCGACGTGTTTTATGCACGCTTTAGAAAAATGCTTAACAGCCTTTTGTCCGGTGTGAATAATACACATGCATATAATCATTCCGCAGTTTATAAGCTCGGCGCGCGGACGTGCATAGAATACCTAAATTATATGGACTTTTAAAATCGTAACGGTGCGATACTAATAAAAATAAAAAAAATAAATTGTTTAACTTATAAATACTCTAAAATGGTGCAGTGTAAGAAGTGTAAACAGTATGTGTCTTTGATTAAAACTACTTTTACGGATTTTATCGCGTTTATTTTACTTTTAATTACTTCTATTTTAATTCCCGACGTTTCGGTTGCTTTTCAGCGCAGCAGCAAAATATAAGTAATAAAAGTAATTAAAATTAAAATAAACGCGATAAAATCCGTAGAAGTACTTTTAATCAATGTGTAGTGTTCGCGTAAATATAAGAAATCATTAAGTATGTGTCCTTATCAAAGGCTGAGGTGATCAAGTGTAAGGGATCTTGTGAGTCTGTATTTCACAAAAATGTGTTCGAAACCTTAAAAAGCATAATGCAGAAAGAAGTTTGTCAAGAGCGTCAAAAGAACGAAAGCCCTGAAAGAATTAGCAAGTTCATGATTGATGTTGATCTCAGTAAGACATCAGTGGAAATGTTGCTAGGTGAGGTAAACAAAAAGTTAGAGATTATCTATAAAATGGAAAGGAGCATTGAAGAACTCAAGGATACAGTAGACTTCTACGCTGAGCAGTATCAATCGATTATTGAATTCAAAGAGGAAGCTGAGAGAAAAATCTAAAATTTGGAGAATAAAAATACCTATCTGGAAAAATGTAACAAAGCAATGGAGGAAAGGATCTTGGAAATAGAGCAGAGGGAGAAGGAAAATAACATAGAAATTGCTGATCTGGAGAGGCAAAATAGTGAACAAATTTTTGAGGTCGTGAATGTTATAGCGAAATAATATAACTTGTGCCAGGCTGATAATGTCGACGTAAAGAGGGTAGGAAGACCAAAACCAGAAAGAACAAAGCCGCAACCAGGTATAGTTACTCTTCGGTCGAGATCGGCGCATGATAAATAGCTCAGTCTTCGCAAAACGACATTAACGAATGATCACGTATATGGTAATAATTCCAAAAGTTCTATTTATATTAATGAGGACCTACCTAAATACAAACGAGAATTATTTTGGACCTCAAAGAATGAACTAAAACAAATTTATAAATACATATGGATACAGAATTCTAATATATTAGTTCAAAAAGAAAATGAAACTAAAATACACAAGATTTCATGTGAGAAAGATATACAAAATCTTAAGGCATAAATATGCAACTAGCGTAATGTGGATACACTACGTGGTTTTTTGTTAACTTTAAAATTCGAATAAAAATAAAAATATTAATTTCTTTGTAACCTTCCGCTAACTAAATACAATGATGTGTCTTACCTCGATTGAAGAACACCTCCCGCCCTCCCTCAATTGCATGCACTAACTCCGTCACCACTAGTCCCAGCACCACTACTCCCAACACCACTACTCCCGGCACCACTACTTCCAACACCACTTTTCCGGGTAAGACACACCATCGACGACAATACGACATATGTTTCGTCCCTACACGAGGCATCCTCAGGTAATGTTGACTCTACGGCGGCTGACTGCTAAGTGAGCTTGTCGTTATGTTACTTTTTTACTAGGAAAAACATCTCATTCCCGTGGGAAAATAGAATATGTTGCAAAAGTTTGTCCTTCTTTCACGTCGCAACAGAGCGTCGGCATGGCATGAATTTTGTTATGGGGATAGTTCGGTGGTAGTAGAGTGACATAGGCTACTTTTTTCCGCGGAAAACATCTCATTCCCGTTCCTGTGGGAATAATTCTATTTTCCCACGGGAATGAGATGTTTTTCCGCGGAAAAAGTAGTCTATGTCACTCTACAGCCTCATCCCCGTGGAAAAATAGCATATGTTGCAAAAGTTTGTCCTTCTTTCATGTCGCAACAGAGCGTCGCCATGGCATGAATTTTGGTATGGTGATAGTTCGGTGGCTGTAGAGTGACACAGGTTACTTTTTTTCCGCGGAAAAACATCTCATTCCCCTGGGAAAATCGGATATGTTGCACAAGTTTGTCCTTCTTTCACGTCGCAAAAGATCCTCGGCATGGGATGATTTTTGTATGGAGATAGTGCTACTTTTTTCAGCAGAAAAACATATCATTCCCGTGGGAAAATCGAATATGTTGCAAAATTAAATTCAGCTAGGTGGCGCCACCGTGATTCCACAAGAAGGACGACGGTACGATGGACGAACACAGAAGATCAGAATATCTGGATTATTATGTCTTTTTACCAAAATTAGGACAAAAAATGTATAGATCAGTATTTTTCCGTAAACCGGGAAGAGAGCGATAAAAAACATAAAATTCACCTGCTAATTTTCTTCAAACGTTTTGGTGCATTGTAATTCACAGAATAGGCGATAACCTCGCAGACGATATTAAGTAATCCGTTGATGCTCTGTCTACACCGCAAGGGTAACAGGCGTGATTATAAGTATGGATCAGGAACACTATCACCACCTGTCACGCTTTAACCTTTAACTATTACTTAACTGTGGTAGAAACAGTTTTTAGTAAGCCTTATTAATAAGCCTTAGTAACATTTATGAAAAATGAATACAGTTCTATATGTATGAATAAATCGGTATTACAATAGGAAGAATTGTGCAAAATTATAATAAAAATATTTTTTGAGAGTTCTTATTAACTAACATATACATAATTTAAATTGATTCCGCTAGATGTCGTTACTAGGTT